GGAGGAGGGACGGGAAAGGGACTGGGGAGGAGGGTGCAGGAGAGGGACTGGAGAGGGACCGGAGCACCGAAGCGCCGGGAGTCAGAGGAGGCGGGCGCCGAGCCCCGCACAGCCAAGCACGCTCGCCCGGCCGGAGAGACGAGGGGCCGCCTGGGCACGGGTCACCTTGTCCCGGAGGTGAGTCCCCTTCCCTGGAATCGGCTGAGGCGGTGGGCGCGGAGGACGCGGGGAGCTTCCCAGCTCTGCCTCGGGAGCGCGCAGCCCCGGGGGCGCAGAGCCCGGAGGGTCCGGTGGTCGCCACAGTGGTGTATCGCGCGTGGATCCAGAACCGGTGGGGAGGTGCAGGGGGCCCGGCTGCCCTCTGTCCCAGCGTCCATCAGAGAAGCGGACTGGGGGCACACGGCGGGACTCGGGACTCAGGTCTCCGTGTGACCCGGGGAGACCGGTAGGCTGGAGAGCAACAGCCGCCGAGGATGAGAACCGGATCCACAGAGGACCGGGAAGGGGAGGACCTGGGTTCTCCATCAAAGGGTCCAGGAGGAGATGCGAGAGCGCGCTGGGCTGGGGATCCTGGCAGCCCCGGGACGCAGGCCGGGACTGGGAGCCCTCGCTGCTGCCGAGAGCCGTCCGCCGCCTCGATAGGCGACGGTCTGCAGCCTGGGAACCAGGATGGGAGAAGCCCAAGTGAGGGGAGCTCCGGGTCCAGCCTCGCCCCTCTCCCGTGCGCTCTCCACGGGTCGCCGAGGAGTTGGAGCCCCTTCTCCCAGGGAAGGGGCTCTAGGTTGTGCGCTTCCGGAATCCCACTGGGTGGGGGCTGCTGCGAAGCCTTCAGAGGGTCGAGGAAAAAATCTACCTGTCGACCTCATTTCCTGGGGTCCCCTTGCGAACAGAAACCGCGGCACTAGGCACTCAGATTCCAGGCGCGCGCAGCCTCCTGCAGCGACAGATGCGCCGCCTCGTGTCACAGCGGGACTGGGGGCCCGAGCCTTCCCCAGGCTGGTGTTCAGGGCAGCAGATGATCCTGGAGGGTTGGCTAGTTTGGGGGAAGAGGGGAGCTGTTTCTTTTTTCTTGGAGAACCAGGCCGTGGGGCGCGAGCTTCCGTGTCTGCCGGCCTCCCTCCTGCAGGGTGGCGTGTTAGGTCCGTTAGGTCCTAGCCCACCAGGAGAAGGCTGTTGCGCAGCCTTGCAGCCCTGGGGTGACAGCCTCAAAACAAAGCGAGGGAGCCAACTTTTCCTGCTGAGGGCTACCGCTGAGCAGCATTGGCGCGGGGGCAGGGTCTGCAAACAGAGTCCAGTTGCCAGACCAGCAGGTCTGTAGGTTCTGAAGAGGAATGGGCACTTCCTGAGGAGTAGCAAGCTGTGTGTTCTGGAGGTGCTGCCTGTGGAGAGGCGACCACAGGTGCCAGGCCTGTGGGATGTGAGGCTTGGCCTGGCCAGGAGCAAAGGAACCGGTACTGGTCAAATGCGACTCCCACCCTGCCTTCTGCCTGCCTGAAAGCAAACCCTTCATGATGCTCAATGAAGGGAAGAGAGAGGGAAGCTATTTTTAAACTTTTTATGATGGAAAATTTTGGTGGTGCACAAAGGTAGACAGAGGAGTGCACTGCACCCTGGCCAGCACCCAGTCACAGCGCAGGATGGAGGAGGCCATGTTTGATAAACAAGCCCAGACCTCTTTCCAAAAATGTTCGGTGAGAGGTGTGGGGTTTGTCAGTATCCTGACTCGGTCATGCCACATTCTCTACACAGATCACAGCACAGCTTTGTACCCCACACATATGTACAGTTGGTCAGTATCCAGTAAAATTAATTAATGAAAAACAACAAATAGCCTTGATTCCTCCTCCGTTCACCTGTACACACACCCTCCTATCTTTCCAGAGGATGATGGCTCATTTCATTTCCTCTAACCATCAAATGCTTGCTGTTTGTTGCTGTTGGTGTTTTGTTGTTTGTCTCTTTGGTGCCAGGGATGGACCCCCAGGCAGCAGCTCGCTATGCTGGGCTACAGAGCTACACCCCAGCCCCAGAAACGATCATTGCTAATCATTCCTTTAGAATGTAGGTGACATCAAAAGCGGCGGCATCCTCACTTTATTCGGCGGTCGAACAGGATTCTGTGCTATCTACTGCTTCCTGAGGCACAGGAGGGGCTCTGGAGGGAAGAAGGCCAAGTCTGGACCTTGAGCAGCTGCAGCTCTGACCAAGGCAGTAGGCTCAGGGTGTGAGGCTCCAGCTGAGCCTGCTAAGCCAAAGAACTTTTCTTCTGGGTGAAACCTTGACACTCAATTCACAGATTGTGAGCAATTAATTCTTCCACCTTTAGTTAGCACTGACATAGAAGAGCTGCCCTGGACTCTACTCATTCTCATTAGCTATACTTCTTAAGCTGTTACTATTAAGGAGAATGGAGAGAGATTTCCTCCTGCGAGTGCTGTTCTGAGGCCCAGGCAGAGCACTGCAGTCTCATTTATTAATTAGGAACCCTTGGGTAGTCACACAGGACATGCTGATAGGCCCTCTGCTTGCTAGGACTTAGCCTCCAGTGCAGCTTCTGCTAGCTGGACAGACATGTGGTGCATGGGCAAGGTCATCAGAGGCCAAGGGAAGGGACATCCTCTCCACAAGGCCCTTCCCACCCCGTACTCACCTCTGGGACTGACTTCAGACAAAAGTTGTGTCTGCAGATTGTCAGGGGCAGCTCATATTTGAATGCTTTTGTGGGATACACTATTTAAACACATTTTTCATCAACCTGTCAAGTGAATAACTTCTTGTGGGCAGGCAGTTATGTCTGCCCTCTGTGCTTCCAAATAAAACCTTGGTCTTTGTGACCAGCACAGCCTTGTGCCCTCTATAGGCCCTGTGCCTGTTAGAAAATAAAGATTCCAGGGACAGCAAGATGCCTGTGCACCACAGTTTGAACAGACATTGCCTTATGTTCACAGGTTCTTTGAAGGGATAAAGATGGCAGGTTTGAAGGATGGAGGGTTCATCTGTCAGCATCAGCAAACAGGATGATAGCAAATCAGCCCATGGCTTCAGAGTACCATCACACAGGCCCACTCTGCAGGAATGGCCAGGTCTAAGAAGCTCTTAGGCCACAGCTGTCGATCTAGCCTTCACTATGCTGGGGACATTATGCCAAAATATTAAAAAAGTGAAAGCACTCAAATTAGGGGTCAGCAAGCAGGTTTCTATCCATAACACCAGGATTGGAGTGATGGCAGTAACAGCAGTTGGCTTTAAATGGGATCCTTCATCATTAGTTGCACATCTCAAACTATCACTGAGAGTTTGCTCATGTATGTTTCAAAGAGAATCTCCAGGACTGGAGACTCAGCCCTGGCTTCAGCCCATGCTGGCCACTGTCATGCGGAGAGGCAGACAGTGTGCTCAGTGCAGTTGGCACAGGACACACACTTCTACCCCTGTGCCCTGAGGGACTTTCTGGAATATGTGTGAGATGAGAAGATTCTGGGTTCAGTCTCTGGGCTCTGTTGTTAGCAGTTGGAATAATCTTAGACAAATCTGAACTTTTTTGAGATCTGGTCTTTCCAAACATGTTGTCTCCAGACTTTAAAACAAGATGTTTCAGTCTGTCATCATTGGCTAAAGGAAGGTGACTCTGGATTGGAGGACATATTTGTGTCTTCACTGGAGGTCTCTGTGGGTCACGTTTGTGTCATGTGGCTTCCTGAGGAGGTAGGAGGGGCCCAGGACCTGCCTTGTGACCCCATCCCACATCAACACTTGTTCACACTCTTGGGGAACATGCAAAGAACTTATAGAAACAAACAGGAGAGGCTTGTGAGCCAGAGCTTTTGAGGTGCACATCTAATACAACTGCATTTAGATTCATATTACACTGTGAAAGTTACAGGATGCAGTTCAAGGTCAAATATTTGAAGGTGCCTTTTAACAAACTGCCACCTCCATGTGTAATCCGTGATGTCCTCAGCTACATTGTGCCGCTTGCACAGTCTAAATCACTTACAGTGCTGCATGAGAAATATTCTTTTAAATTACTGCAAATGAAGTAAAAATAAAATCAGATGCTGAAGGACAACAACTAATGAGTGTTAGGACTGGAAATAACTATAAGAACCAAAAATACCATAACCAGGAAAAACTACACATGTAGAAAATGATAAAATGAGAACTGTTTCTGAAAATACAAGCCAGGAAGCAACTTGGGTATTTTCTTGCACTAGAAGGATTTGTCTAGGAGTCCAGTGAGCATCGCTGCAGAGAGGTGGAGAGGTGGACATTTTGACACTGAAGTTTACATCAAAGTTCAGCATGAAAACATGTTGCTATGTTCGGTGCCTAAGTGATCCTCAGCCATGCTAGCCTGGCTTAGGGGACATGAGGACCAGAGAGAGCACTGTCATTGTAAAGTGGTCTTTCCAAAAGCCTTGCTGCTGTGCTCCTCTCTGAACAGTTCCCCACCTCCAGCAAGTCTGGCTGACCTTGCTGGACGTGACTTTCACATGAGTCTCCATTGGTCCCTTCCTCACTTTTCCTAGACAGTTAGAACCACAAATGTTCATTGCTTCAACTTTAAAGGTATTTCTGAAAGTGAGATGTGATGCTCTCACCTGACACTGGACATCTGGGACTAAGCCTCCAAACTCCTTAGGGAAGCAGCAGAGAAATGAAATGTGTCACATACATACTCATCCACCATGGTCCAGTTTTTGCTTTTAGCTCAATCCCATAATCTGAGCTCTGTGTCATGATCCTGGCATCAGTAGGCACAGGTTTGAAATCATAAGGTTTGTATCTGAAGATGACAGTGGGATTCGGAAACCCTGTGGCCATGCTGAGGGACCCACAGGTGTGAGCTCTGCAGACCCAGAGGATGTCCAGCTCAGCAGGTGACCGATTGGTACCAGGGCACTGTGTAGTGTCCACAGATGCATTCACTAAAACATAGCATTTCTCTGTGTGTGCTCGCATGTGTGTTGCTAGGTTCAGAGGTCAGGGTCTCAACGCATTCTGCACACACACACACACACACACACACACACACACAATCACAGAGCTATACCCTAGCACTGACACACACTCATGTCTATGCCAGACTGCATATCCACAGTCTCAGCCTCAACCCATCACCCCATGTCTCTGTCCTCAGAGTCCATCCTAGGGGTATCACAAGACAAAGGTCACTC